AAAAATATAATTTATTTGAGGTATAGTGATAATGTGGTGTAATAAACAATATTTGTAGTGGCAATATAATTACAAATTACCCTTTGAAATAATGTATTTGCCCATTGAATAAATCTGCACGTACACGATAATTTCACAGGTTTTTGCACAGGAAGACAACTATACAACTGTCTTCCTGTGATTTGCTGCTGCCAAAAACAGTTTTTGGCAACAGCCAATCAAAGGAAGACTGCAAAAACCTATGGAATTTCCTATACTTCTAGTCTTGTTCTCGCTTATTTACCCTTCTAAGGTGTACTTTATTTATTGTGTGCATTTAAAAAGGCTTGCACTACACAACTTTCTTTTTTCAAAGATCGCAAAAAAATATAATAATAATAATAATATATAAGAGAACCGTTTGTACTTTTAGCAACGGTTCTTAAAAATTGTAAAAGTGAACAAGAATAAAAGATTTATAACATATTTTTTCCCCCAAGCTAAAAAAGTAAATTACTATTAAATAACTTTTGTGAATTCGGATAACATATATTTTTCTTACATTTAAGTCAAAAAAATAATAATAATAATCCTTTTGATATATAGTAACTCTTATACTATAACTTCCTTGTTTTCACTTTTATGAATAAAAAAAAATTAATTAAAACTTACTTCTTACTTTAAGTAAATTCACCTTTTGTCTACATAAATGTTTAAATAACCTACTTTCTCTTACTTTCTAGTTAACAAATAAAAAAAAAAAATTATAAATGTGATTTATCAAATGTACTTATTCTAAACTTACTTATTTTGACTCAAATATATTTAGCTTTTGTCTACATGTTTAAATAAAGAAGAAATTGTTTTTAAAGTTACTCATATGTTAGCTTATTCATTTTCGTCTTTGGCCAATATTATTCATCAGATCTACTATGATGAATAAATATTTCGATCTAAATTCATTTTATTTGATCGATCATTTTAAATTTTTAATTAGGCATGACTAATGGGTAAAAATATATCGTGATTAATTTAAGTGAAAATTACACCTACACATAATTTTTAACTTCCCATTTCAAAAATCAGGTCATAATTCAATTTTTTTTATAAAAAAAATCAATAATAATATTATTTTCACCCCTGAATCGTAAATTATTTTCCTTTCTTCTCTCTCCATTCTCTCCCTTCTATTTTCTCTGTCTTTATCACAC